GGTAGAAGAAGATGTATGTGATTAGTAGAACAAGAGGAAAAAAAGATTTACTATTATGATTAGTACAATAGAAAGAAAAAAGAGCGATCGCGGTATAGGTCAAGAGTATAGAGAAATCAATTACTTTGTATGCACTTGCTTGATAAGCACAGGAAACGCTTTTAAGTGAAAGGATGCCCGCCGTCATCAGGCTCAGTTCACTCGATTGGAAATGAACATAGAGTATGAGTTTGTTTCCGATCGAAGATAACTATTTAAAAAGATTAGAGGAAATTGAACTTTATCGGTATCTTAAAACAAAAAGAAAAAGCAAAACATTATTTTCAATTAGTATCATCGTTTATAATACAGATTTTAATAAAATTCTCATTGATGACTTATCAATCTGTGAACGAATTGATAAAACGTTTATATATCGTTGATTATGTAAAAAGAAGTATACGAAATAAGTGAAGCACATCTGTACAAGTTATTCTATAAGTCGTGTGTAAACGAATGTAATGATGCGTTGATTTTAACGGTATGACAGGTGAAAAATGATGACTAGCAATTCTTTCAACAAATAAACGTGTACGATTTAGATATGCTCAATTTCGTTTTCGATCATTGTTATATGTTTGATCTATAGCACAAACGTCATTTATCCTTAGCAATAATAACGAACTTCATCACATCCTACTGGTTTCTGTACTCTGTAGCAGACATGACGAAATTCAACACTACAAGAAATCTATCAGTCTTGTTGATTTTAATTTACTCAATATTAGGCAATTTTGTACATATAATTTTGCAAACTTATGTTTATAAAAGAGGATAATTCAGATGTATCAAGCTGTTGTAGAGGAAAATAACGAACAACACTATTCATATAGTATTTGTACTTTTTACATAGTGTAGAACTATTATTGAAAGTCATCAACACTAGCGAGGTAACGTCTCCAATTGTCCAATCCCTTGTTAGCAAAAACCAATGGGGCGTGGGTAAAAAAATTAATTTTTTGTTATATAGATGTTTTGATAGATTTAAATGATAAAGTATGTTGATTTATCTATGAAACAATATTTTTTTCTATTTTAAATGTTAAAGTGAAATGTATTTCTCTACGCAAGTCAGTCGTGTGAAATAAATGAAGATATCGATCATGCCAAAACTTAAAGTACGTCGCCACTTGACTTGACCATATACGGATAATAGAAACTAGGACCCAAGCATACAAATATTTTTTCTCGTTTTTCATTCCAGAATAAAAACAACATGTTATAGTAATACTTCTATTAATCTCGACTATTGCCTATCTATGAAAGTATATAACATTAACAGAATTAATATCAATAAAAATGATAGTGCTGTAAACAGATAACAGTATATATAAGAGAATATGGTAGTAATAACTTAAAAAATTCTTTGTTAATCTTGCAACCGACTCTCAACTTTATCTCTATTTTTTAATACAAGCTTAAAAATGTTTTTTAAATGCAACGCTATCAGCACGTTTAGTGATAAAAATAATTTCAACTTTTATATCTTAAAACTCCATTCTCCTACTATGGAGTTCATACGTTCCACGAAGTAAAACAATTATATTTTCATAAAAGTTCGATTTCAAAGTAGAAAAAGAATTTCACCTAGAGAATCGATTTTTTTCACCCACACCCACAGCCATACATTAGTTGAAGTAGTTCTAAAATAAAATTAGGCCTATACCAAATAATCCACATATACTGCTTGTCTTTCAAGTTAAACATACAAAACAAGAAGATGATACCTCCTATTATAAGAAATAACAAGAACAGTAAATTAATAATTTCAAAGATTCGTAACGAATAAGTTTCAATTTGAATATAAGTTACATGCAGTTTTTTTAATCAAATAATTTGTCGGATCGATGAGTATCAGATATTTGATGAGCCTTAGTTTTTTTAATAAATGACAAGGTTTCGTAGAAGAAGTCAGATAGTTTCAAAAAACGCTCCACTAATTGAATTCTTTTGATCAGAATAAATTAGTAAAGCAAATGAGATTTTCATAATTTATATCTGCGACATGCCTTTTTACGAACGATTATTCTGTCTGAACAGACGTATGTATATGATAAACAAATCTTCCATTTAGGACTATCTTTTGTAATACCAGTAAATCAATTCCAGATGAGGGCAGGGGTGTAATCTTTTGAATCAACCTACACTCATTCATATATACATTTGCAAGAGAGCCTGCCCAAACCTAAAGAAGATAGAGACATAATGAAGACTTTTCTGTTAATTTCATTTATTTTACGTTTGTTTATGACAAATGCACTGTTCTTTCCAAGTTTATCTTTATTATCTACATAATGGTTACATACAGCCTATCAGTCGACAGAATACAGCAAGAAAAATGATAAAAGTTAGTTTAAACATTTTTTTTAATTTCATGTCTATTAATTCGCGATGACAAATTATGTTATCAACTTGTGTAATTCAGTCAATATCTATCATTACAAATACTTTTTTTTACTTGGGATTCTTCAATAACAAATATGACTCAACACGTTTTTTCTTCGTCAACGTAAATAAAATACTTGTTTTTCGCAAGCTACTTCCATGGTTAGTGAACCATGACAATATTTCATCACTTGTTTTTTCGTTCGCCATGTGTTGTCTTTCATAATAATATCATAAGCAGCTAGAGATAAAACATTTCAAAAGAATATAGACACCTATAAAAAAAAGAAGAACCATTTTTCATCATTATTTCACTAATAAATTTTATACAGTAACTCCAATTCAAATCATTCACGTAGCAAACAATGAATAGAGGGAAATTAACAACAAATCCATCTACAGTTCCAAAAGGTCGTCGACGTATCCATATCCAACAGCTGCAAAATGTTCTTCTAGTCTGGTTAGACAGTAACATAGACGAAACAAATGATTATTATCAAAATACAATCACAACATTACGACGTGCTATTAAGGACGTCAATACATATACAAATGGTGATCAATGCCTTGAATTCATTCAAACAATCGTCGACAAAAAGGTTTGTATGGTTATATCTGGATCACTTGAAAAACATATTGTGCCTCGTGTGCACAATATGTCTCAAGTTGATTCAATATTTATTTTTAGTGGCAATAAAATATATCATCAACAATGGATCAAAGACTGGCCCAAAATAAAGGGTGTCTTCACAGACATTACACCTATGTGTGAAGCACTCAAGAAAGCTGCTTATCAATGTGAGCAGAATGCCATTCCCATGAGTTTCGTGGGACCAAATGAAAAGTTGGAACAATTAGATCCTTCTTTTATGTACACTCAAATGCTTAAAGAAATATTATTAACCATCAAATTCGAACAAAAACATATACAAGATTATCTTAATTACTGTCGCGATGCTTTTGTCAACAATGAAGAAGAAATGGTTAATATTGAAAGATTAGAACGTGAATACCGCACCAAAACACCCATTTATTGGTACACCTGTCAAATGTTCTTGTATCCCATGCTCAATCGTGCATTACGGTTGATGAATGGTGATACCATTACACGTATGGGTTTCTTCATTAGTGATTTGCATCGACAGATTGAACAACTGCACCGAGAACAATATCCCGATACAACTGCTGTTAACACCTTTACCGTTTATCGTGGCCAAGGTTTTTCTACAGGGGATTTTGAACAAATGATGAAAACTAAAGGCGGTCTTATTTCATTCAATAACTTCCTATCTACTACTAAACATCGCAATATATCACTGGGTTTTGCTCAACGTGCTACGATTAATTCAGATGAAGTCGGAGTACTTTTTATCATAGAAATTAATCCTGCTCTATTAACAACACCATTTGCTTCCATTGCTGGTATTAGCAAGTTTCAAAGAGAAGGAGAAGTCTTATTTTCGATGCATAGCGTTTTTCGTATTAAGGATATTAAGCAGATGAGTGAAAATAATCGTTTACATGAAGTTTATCTGACACTTACTGCCAAAAACGATCCAGAATTGAGCAGATTTAATGATTACATTCGAAAAGAGAGCTTTCCAGACTCTGAAGGATGGTACAGATTAGGTAGGGTGTTACGTAAAATGGGTCAATTTGACACGGCTGAAGATATTTATCAAGTTTTATTTGATCAAACAAAGAATGATAAAGACAAGGCACCTATTTATGTTCAACTTGGTTCGATCAAATATAGTCAAGGTAAATATCAAGGGGCACTTACATTCTATGAAAAATCACTTGATATCTATCAAAAAACTCTTTCTCCCAATCATCCTAGTTTGGCTATTTCCTACAGTAATATTGGTAATGTGCATAACAGCATGGGTGATTATCCGAAAGCACTTTTCTATTTTGAGAAAGCCCTTGAAATTCAACAACAATCACTTCCCCCCAATCATCGTGATTTGGCTATACCCTATGTTAATATTGGTAATATGCATGCTGAGATGGGTAATTATTTGAAAGCAATTTCATCTTATAAAGAAGCCCTTGAAATTCAACAGCAATCACTTCCTCCCAATCATCCTGATTTGGTATATTTCTACAACAACATTGGTAATGCGCATTCCAAGATGAGTAATTATCGGATAGCACTTTCTTGTTTTGAAAAAGCCCTTAAAATTCAACAACAATCACTTCCCCCCAATCATCGTGATTTGGCTATACCCTTTGTTAATATTGGTAGTGTGCATGCTGAGATGGGTGATTATCCGCAAGCACTTTTTTGTTTTGAAAAAGCCCTTGAAATTCAACGACAATCACTTCCTTCCAATCATCCTGATTTGGCTGCTTCCTACAACAACATTGGTAATGTGCATTGCAGAATGAGTAATTATTCGAAAGCACTTTCTTATTATGAGAAAGATCTTGAAATCAGTCAACAATCACTTCCTTCCAATCATCCTGATTTGGCTTCTTCTTACAACAACATTGGTAATGTGCATGCCGACATGGGTAATAATCCAGAAGCACTTTCATCTTATGAAAAAGCTCTTAAAATTCAACAACAATCACTTCCTCCCAGTCATCCTAATTTGGCTGCTTCCTACAACAATATTGGTACAGTGTATGACAACATGGGTATATACACAAAAGCCCGTACATTTTATGAACATGCTATACAAATTGGACAACAATCATTACCTTCGAATCATCCAAATCTTCAACAATGGAAAAATAACCTCGAACTTGTAAAAAAACAAATAATAAATTGTACTGTTGTGAAATTTTTAATGAGAAATAATTAACTTTTTAGACGAGAAATGAATTATTTTAAATGCGCGCGCGTACAGAGGGTGTGAGTGTGATTATGGATGTGGGTTTGGGTTGTTCTCTTGCATCCACACTCGCCCCGCCATCCACACTCTCAAAATGGTTGTACTGTTTTTTTACACTGATGAGCATAGATGAAATAGACTTAATATCCCTATGTTTTCCTTCATAAAAGAGATAGGATCTTGATAAACTAATATCAAGGCAGGTATATACTACTAAGATACTTCCATTTTATAATGTTTCTAAAGTTGATAAAACTTGATGGTTTATTATTACCACCTTTATATAATAAGATTTTTTCAATCTCCGTCGCAGTCGACGTAAAATAGAATTTTTTCTGTTCTTTCTTCACATATTTTAACGAAAAACAAATGCTACTATGTACACACAATATTCCCTTACATTACAGTAAATTTATTTGTTTGCTCATCTATGTGCATAACTATAAAAGCGATGCATCACGTCTTGAAAAAAGAAAAAAAAACATGCAAAATTTTCGATTCATTAATGTTGTTTTACTGTTTGTTGATTCAACTCGTCGGATACTAATGCATGTTTGTTTTGTAGCGCATTATAACATACAACCGTCACTGTCTTTGTCAGGTTAGAAACGAAAAGAAATCTGCATTCATTAGTTATTTGTTCCTACGGTAACAATGGTAAACGTTGGATTGTTATAGAAGTGTTTTCAATAGGACCTTGAGTTTCTGCTGATGATATTTGGGACATCATCATCATACTGCCCAGTGAGTGTTGGTTGTGTGAAAGACGGATAGCATATCCATACCGATCCATTCTCACACCCACACCCATCCATCCTACACTCACACCCACCTACCCCACATCCACAAGATTTCGTGAAAAACAGTTATTCGCCTCGGAAGCTGCTGCAAAAGTGAGGGTGATTGGAAAAATTCTTTCGGTTAAATGTGTTTCGGCGACGAGGAACACAACCGAACATTTTGTCGTCGACTTTTTTCTTCTACCTTTTTTTCTTCCAACGTGTAGTTGCACCATCAACAGAAAAATACGACACTCGTAAAGTAAATACGTATTTCAAGAGAAGAAATAAAAGCAACAACACACCACACATTTAAACAGTTTCTATCGAAGACAAACAAAATCATGACAAGTTTGATTACATTACCAGTAGAGCTTATCTACCGAATTTTGGACCATCAGAGTGACTTCACTCTGTTGTGTTCTATGCGAAATGTGTGTCAGCGACTCAATCAAATCGTTGATACCTACAATCGATATCAGGTAAGGCCTTTTCCTATCATACGAGGCTAATGGTCATCAATCTTCAAGTTTTTTTCCCCCTTACGACCTGTAAGCCTGATAAAATAGTAGGCAATTAAACACAAGTGTATAATATTATCGGAGTTATTAGATATTTGTGAGAAAAGCTTGTTGCACTAAAACTCACGATCATGTGTTTAAATATAATTTCCTGTATTGAAAGGAGGATTATGATTGGAATTGTTACACCTCTATATGTTTGTTTGTTCATCAAGAGACTTTATTAAGGAAACTATGTAGTCAGATTTTGACTTATGAGATTGAGAAAAGTCGAATATGACCAATTGATCTGTCATTGGGACAGGATTGCTGTAATTTTTGCAGTGACAATTGGTTTGAGGTGTGAATGTTATATGCGTTATATACCCACCTAACCTAGGAATATTAATAGATCTGATCCTTCAGCTTTTGGTGCCAGAAGTTTTGCTTGGTTATCAAATACAAGTTCTAACACTAAATCAATATGAAAACAGTTCAAACAACTGCGAAAAATGTCTTTGTTTATTTTTACTCATTCTTTTGTAAGAATCCGAATGCTCAAACAGCATTAATCATATTCTACAGACGTTAGTGACAAAAGATCAAAACGAAAGAGGACAAGAGACTGTAATATATGTCTCCTAAGATATCTTTTTGCGGTATAAAAAGAAGTTTGAGGCAGACTAACAACCATTCCGCGATTTCGTCTCACCTGAATAATTAGCGAGAAAATAAATCTACTGAGCTGTCATGATCGCTGGCCTTTTATTTATTATATGATCCCACCTTCCTCACTTTGCCAAATATACGCCTGCCAACACAAGCAACTGCTACTATTGGCTATAGGACACCCTCATACCACTTACTCTTTAAAAAACAAATAACTAAAATCGCCACTTAATATGGATTTAACGGTGAAGCAAACTAGCGATCAATGACGACCAAACATCGTAAGAAAACCCCTTCGCACCGATAAAGCGTCTTCTATAAGCGAATCACATATTACTACGAAACGCTAAATCATACTAGGGTTCTTCAATTTATTACTTAAGGTTCCTTCCCCGACTGATTATCAATTCGTCAGAAACTCCTCCCTTTCTCCACTTAATCTTTTGTCTATGACAATAACACTCTGAGACTATGATGAGAACCTCTGTGTATTCTTGACAAATGCGTCATAAGTTCAATCTTCTACCACTCACAACTTCCAGTTGCTCTCAATATGTAGGAAATGCCATAGAATCTATATCATCTTAAATCCCTATTTTCAGAATATCGATGCATAACGCTACGTAATAACAACATCATTCTGAAATCCCGCTCACATCTATTTTCAAAACTGAATGTGGACACACTAAATTGGACCTATCCTACGACCGAATCAGACACGAGGGAGCACAAGGTCTCGGTGATGCACCATAAAATAACACACTAATATTTATTCACTTTTCATTTATTCTATATAACTATTTGTACTTTCACATTTAGACACTCACCACACTGAATCTTTCGTACAACGGAATTGGAGATGAACGAGCAAAATATCTCAGTGCTGCACTACAAAATAACACAGTAATATTCATTCACGCTTCATATATTTCAAATAACTATTTGTACTTTCTCATATAGACACTCACCATACTGAATCTCAACGGGAACGGAATCGGAGCTGAAGGAGCACGACATCTCGGTGATGCACTTCAAAATAACACAGTAATACTCATCAACTCTTCACCTATTTCACATAGCTATTTGTACTTGCTCATTTAGGGACTGACCACACTGAATCTCAACTGGAACGGAATCGGAGCTGATGGAGCACGACATCTCGGTGAGGCACTTCGAAATAACACAGTAATACTCATCAACTCTTCACCTGTTTCACATAACTATTCATCTTTTATCATACAGACACTCACTACACTGACTCTCCGTTTAAACAAAATCGGAGCTGAAGGAGCACAACATCTCAGTGATGCACTACGAATTAACACAGTAATATTCATTTACTCTTCATCTATTTCATATAGCCATTTGTGCTTTCTCATACAGACACTCACTACACTGGATCTCGAGTGTAACCGTATTGAAGCTCAAGGAGCACGACATCTTGGTGATGCACTACGAATTAACACAGTAATATTCACTCGCTCTTTATCTATTTCACATAACTGGTTGTACTTTCTTATATAGACGCTCACCACACTGTTTCTCGAGATCAACAAAATCGAAGCTGAAGGAGCCAAACATATCAGTGACGCATTACGAAGCAACACAGTAATAGTTATTCACGCTTCACGTGTTTCACATAGCTAGTTGTACTTTCTCATATAGACACTCATCACACTGAATCTCAACGGGAACGAAATCGGAGCTGAAGGAGCACAACATCTCGGTGATGCACTTCAAAATAACACAGTAATACTCATCAACTCTTCATCTGTTTCACATAGCTATTTGTACTTTCTCACACAGACACTCACCACACTGAGTCTCTACAACAGCGAAATCGGAAATGAAGGGGCACAATATCTTGGTGATGCCTTACGAATTAACACAGTAATATTCACTCGCTCTTTATCTATTTCACATAACTGGTTGTACTTTCTTATATAGACGCTCACCACACTGTCTCTAAAGGGCAACAGAATCGGAGCTGAAGGTGCCCAACATATCAGTAACGCGTTAAGAAGCAACACAGTAACAATTATTCACGCTTCACGTGTTTCACATAGCTAGTTGTACTTTCTCATATAGACACTCATCACACTGAATCTCAACGGGAACGAAATCGGAGCTGAAGGAGCACGACATCTCGGTGATGCACTTCAAAATAACACAGTAATACTCATCAACTCTTCATCTGTTTCACATAGCTATTTGTACTTTCTCATACAGACACTCACCACACTGAGTCTCTACAACAGCAAAATCGGAAATGAAGGGGCACAACATCTTGGTGATGCACTAAGAAATAACACAGTAATACTCATCAACTCTTCACCTATTTCACATAGCTATTTGTACTTGCTCATTTAGGGACTGACCACACTGAATCTCAACTGGAACGGAATCGGAGCTGATGGAGCACGACATCTCGGTGATGCACTTCGAAATAACACAGTAATACTCATCAACTCTTCACCTGTTTCACATAACTATTCATCCTTTCTCATACAGACACTCATCACACTGAATCTTAACGGGAACGGGGTCGGAGCTGAAGGAGCACAACATCTTGGTGATGCCTTACGAAATAACACAGTAATACTCATTCACTCTTTATCTAATTCAGATAACTATTATTATTTTTTCATATAGGCACTTACGACACTGAATCTCGAATTGAACAGTATCGGAGCTGAAGGAGCACAACATCTTGCTGATGCACTACGAATTAACACAGTAATACTCATTCACTCTACGTTTATGTCACATAACTATTGGCACTTTCTCATATAGACACTGACGACAATGAATCTCGCGGTGAACAGTATCGGAGCTGAAGGAGCAAAACATCTCCGTGGTGCACTACGAAATAAGAGGGTATCATTAAGCTTGTGTTTGGATAACCATCACTCACGAATATATTAGTCTATCTTGTAGCAAATGAACGAGTTCAGTCTAGTAGTGTGTACTTTTGTTTTTCAGTAATCGAGTTGTATGCACAATATTGATTTTTTGTTTTAAGCTGTGCTTCTAAAATAATTAATTAAATGCAGAATTCAATTCGCGGACGCATTTTGTCTTATTGCATGAAATTTAAACCTGCATTAAACCTGTGTATATGAAAGAGAAGCTTAAAGTAAAACGTAAAGGAAAGTGAGGAAATGAACTTTAAGAGGCAAATCAGAAGTAGGATGATAAGATTTCAGTAGAATAAGTAAATCCTTGGTTCCTATTTGTTTCTCATCAGTTTCAGTTGGCAGCAAAGAAAGATAATGTTAGTTGTGTTGCTGAATCGATATCTGACAGTATTCAGTAATGTTTTCAGTAGCAAGATCATGTGGTCCAAAGTCTAGTATTATTTTGGATACTATTGTGGAAGATTTTTTGGATTAAGTTAATTATTCTCAGCATCTATTATAATTGTTAGCATTAAATGACTGATTAAGTTTAAATAAATGTTGATCATTATTATACTACTTATTTAACGTTGTTGAAAATATGAATAAGTGTAATACGTTCCGTGGTCGAAGATATGGCAATTGGCGGCATATGTTTATTGTTATGTACTTTAGTTAATTTGAGCTACTAAGATTTAGACATAGAGAAGATAGTTAATCTATAACTAAAAGGCGTGTACAATGTAAAAATATAGTAGAATCTTGGTTCCAATAGGTGCTTTATTACTAATAAGAGACCTGTTCGATTAGATGTTTCGGTACTGATCGGATATTTGCTTCATTGTGTTTTTCGTTCTTAATATTCATTAAAGAACGCCTAATTCATCAGCTAGGTCTCCCATAACATTACATTCGTACAATTGGAATAATACTGTATAGATGCGGTAGTAATATCAGCAACAAATGATTTCCAAATTCACGATGTTGAATTAAATTTACAATCGGCATTTTTATCTTGACTGAATATAGTAGTTTTATGTAATTTATCTGATCTAAAGTGGCATGACTATTGAAACAATAATTCACAGTGAATAAATACATTGAAGCTAGCTGCCAATACCATTGCAACCGAGTTTTGCATTGGAAGTGAACCAAAATATGTAAAGAGCCAAATGCACTCGGAATAGTGCGTAAAAACATAAAGTCGATTGTAACAAATGCGGTAATATTGAATTGTAAAGATCATTCTAATTGCAAGTTGAATATTCACAATGGCTCATTCAGAATTTTGTCAGGACATTAGCGCTCATCTAGTGCAGTATAAGTTTATTTTGTTTCATTAGATTCTTCGTCTTTAATATTGACTAGATGAGATCTTAAGTAATCAAGTGAATTATTTGTAACATTAACGTGCAAGAAAGAAAAACATTTCTTAAAATTGATTATCTATGTTTATTGAAAAGATCGAATTGTTAATTATTCTAATTTTCATCAAGATTTATCAAAAAAATTCATTATTAGTAGACGATGACATTTGTTCTCTTTGTTTGCTTTTAGTTTTCACATATTCGAGATGATTCAGTTTTTGTACAAGAATTAACTAGAATACTCGTTCTCACGAAGGCTAAATTTTCAATAAATGGACTTACTGACCTTCTCTATGTTCTATCGATTTTTTAACGTGATCTGTTTTTGTACCATTAGTAAATGGATCGAATCTCGTATCTCTTCTACTGATATTGTTCAATTATATAAAAACGGTCAAGATTTTTAGAATCCTTGAATATTTTACATGTTATCAGAACCCAATACAGAAGAGAGTAGCGAATCACTCAGGAAACTGAGAAAGAATCATAATCTGATGATGAATTCCTGGAAGTTCATGTAATTGTTGAATAAGTATCACTAACTGCCGAAAATAGTATAATCAACCCTATTAATTGCTACTGACATCCCATCAACGACAAGAATATTAGTCTTATCGTTTACGAAACTAATAGATATGTAGAACAATACCTACTAACACAAAAGCTTAGCAAACGGTCTAAAACACCTTCAATGATTTATAGTTTACCTAGGGAAACAGAACTTGATAGTCAATTTTCGACATTCTGAAACAGTCATCATGAAGTTATTAAAAAAACCCTTTCGAAGGTTATATAACTGTAGTAGCTAGCAACTTTTTTTTACAAGTATTGATCTCACACAATACAACGATACGAATCTCACTGAAAATTTGATGATATATTCAGGGTGAGTGTGGATAAAGAAACGGCGCACACCCTCAAGAAAATTGTTATGAAAACGAATAGGACTTCATATGTATATATAGATATTCGTATTCTATTCATTTAATATGCATGAGCTTATCGATAGTATGAACTATTCTTTAATATTCGAACAGAAAGGATAATTAATTCTATTGATGAAATAAACTTTCTTTCTTTCTTAACTAACACAACAAAACTTTACTTGTTCAAATATAATAACAAATCTTTTCAATATGTATTGTCTACCTTACCACTAGGTGCTGCTACTCATATCGTGTTCTCAATAAAAACAAAGTTTCAATAGAGATATTTTCTATTTCATAAGTTTTATTGTACTTTCAAAAAAAATGTACAAGCAAATTATATTTTCGTTTTTATCTTTTCGAGCTTTTTTCTCCGTTGTTGAAGGGTGG